CGGGGTCTTGTGTTCGGGGACAGTAATTTTCGAAAGCTCTTGTGTATTGAAGTACCTGGGGGATAGGCTTCACACGTGCCCTGAAGGCCCTGAAGCCCCAAAAGCAAGAGTTGCTGAGGTGAAGCCCATGACCGTTGGGGAGCTTTGGGATGGCCTGGCTCTGCGACACGGGTGGGGCTCAGGGATAAGCTGTCTCAACTTGTTCTTAGGGTTTGGTCTAGAATATGCAAGATAGGGTGCTCTAGGCATCACGTCAATCACAGCCCGCATCGCAGAATGTGCTTTGAGGACCATCCGGAAGCGAGTGGATGTTGTCGACATCGTGTCCGGGTTCAAGTTCTGCAAGAGGCGGTTCTGCAAGTTTGAGTGTTCGGCGCCGAAGGTGCAGCAGATTCCAAGAGTATCAGCGCTGACCCTGTCTGAAGTAGGAGGTAATGGGTTGGTTTAAAACTCACCACCCCAGAACGACAACACACAGGAAACTCTGTTTGGCAGTCGGCCCAGCCCAGCCCTTAGTGTGGAGGACTGGGCTCACAGTGGAGCTGGCTTCGATGACCTCGCAGCCCAGCAAGGAACCCGAGGCGCAGTACATAAACTCGAGATTTCAAATTTAACTTTGGGCTGCGATTCAGGCTGCGAGCCTAGCACCGGGCCCTGTGTTTCAGGCAGCTGTGCGATTTACCTTCTAGCCAGGGTTTTCGAAAGCTGCCTGAAACAGCAGCCACTTCGAACTGGCAGCCCAAACTACCGGCACTACCCGTCACTAAACCCCGACAAGCTTGGTGCATTCACGGTTTGCAGCAGTTTTTGTTGCATCTGTTGTTTTGCACATGTCTCTGATGTTTCTTCGGGCTTGCCTGCAGGATCTCTCCCCGGAGGAGGTCAGCCACCTCTCCCTGGTGATCCAGGACTGTCCTCCTCGCACATCCTGCGAAGCACGATACTGGCACCCTGATCCAGGGCCGCCAGACTGACGTGGATGACGACGAGGCGAGAAAGCAGATCGCACTCATCAAGGAGCTCTTAATGCGAAAATCATGAGACGCTCCGGAGTTCTTCTCCTCCACCCCTAGGCAGTCGGCAGAGTTTGCTTCCAGCCTTCTCCCTTAGTCTCATATCCCGAAACCCCAGTCAGGACGAGGCCAGGAAAAGCGACTACTTCGGGCCCGTCCACGAATCCATGAAGGGGAAGCATTTCAAGAACCTCGTGCCGTGATTTATTTTCAGCAGGACCCTGCTCCACAGAACTTTAAGATACTCAAGCCGGTAGGGCTGGCAGTGCCGTGCACCGTTTCGAAAGCGTTGTACAGCTTGGCAGATGTATAAGGGCGAGCCGCTTGGAGGGGTTTGAGTGAGGTTAAGCTGATTTCCAGCTTGATGCAGCTGGATCAAGAGCTGCTCCTGGAGCACTGGCTCCTCTGTCGCGCTTGTGACCACTTGTGGACTTGTGAGCTACTCTGTCGAAGTGCACAACGTTCAGCAAAGGCACAGTGCTTCGTTTCTGTTTACGACTGCATTGCCATGTCTTGTCATATCCTACTGTGTTGCGTTGCTTCGGTGCTGATGTGTAGTTAGCAACTAACCTTGTCGCGCCTAATCGTCGATGGCACCTTGCTTTTGATAGATTGCAGTTAAAGAAAGGGCCATCGAGAACACGTCAGAACCCTGAACGTTTGCATACATGGGGAGTCAAACTTCAGGCATGTCACCCATGCAGGATCGCCATGTCGTCCAAGGTACTGGGCCGAGTTTGGCCTCTTCTTGCCCTGTGTTCCGATCCTCGAGCTATTGTGCCTCGGGTGCAAGAACAGTCAGGGTTCGGCAGGTTGTGCTGGTGGGGTTTACAAGTGGCACTCCAACCATGTGCCAATCCTCACCGCTCTGGAGCTAGAGTCGGCTACTGTGGGTTAGGTCAATGCTCGCTCTTGTCAGCTGGACAGCACAAAGGTACGCTCGTGGACGGTATCAAACCTGTTTGTTTGACTTGGGCCCCTGGTCAGGCTGACCACGGTGGTCTACAGCAAGGCCCGATTAGCTGCGCTAGCCGCTAGGCTCGAGAAGCTGAGCGTGCGCATCCTTCTCTTCAGAAGCTCCATAATTCAGGCCGTGTGCATCCCCGTGCTACGTTATGTGGCATCGCCTACTGTAGATGTTTAAACGCTTGGGCCATGATCAACTGATGCCTGTCTACCCTCCCTGTCCCACACTGTGCATTGGGGGAACAGTCAGTGGCCGAAGCTGTAAGAAGGAAAGGCAGTCACAGTCGAAGTCGTACCAAGAGATTCGCGCCTAGGTCAGCAAAAAAGAAATCGGTGACAAGCCCGGAGCTGGCTTGGTGAACCATCCGTTCCACATCAAGGATGCGGAGCGTGATTGATTCGGTTTGGCTGCGAGCCAGAAGACTTAACTTTCTCGGCTAGCTACGTTGCTGGAGGCTTCACCTCGATTGAGACACACGCTCACGTCCTGTGACACTTTTCGCAGGATCTCATGCTTCTGGCCTACAACGGTGGGCTCATCGGAGTTCCGGATCGGATATGCATGACATCAGAGGAGGTGCAGGCCGACTCTAGAGGCTCTCCCATGATTCGCTTTTGCGGAGCCGCCGAGTGTGACAGGCAGTCTGGCCGGCGCTCCTCAGGCCCAGAAGCCAGCATAAGCCAGCAGTTGGAGCTGTGGCGTTCGGTGGCCTGGTAACTTTGGGGATGTTTGTTGCGTACTTGCGACTTGAGGCTGGGGGTTTGGACATGGGATGTTAGGTCGGGTGTGTGGCGTCAGGCTCGGAGGAAAGCTCGATACAAAGAAGATCCTAGCTTCTCATTGGTCAGGCTGCGATTGAGGTCCCATGGCACCAAGTCACGGATGTCAACCGGTAGTCTGAAACCTTGAACTCAGACCCTCCTAGTTCTGGCAGACAGCATTCCGCTTACGGCAGGGTCGTTTGGGGCTTCCTTCGTTCATTCGCAGCTATCCGAGCTGTGGTCGGTTCAGCTCAGGTCTTGTTGGCTTTTTGAGTGGACCTTTCTGGACTTTGGCACTTTGACAGGTCGACTGCGGAGCTGACCTTCCGGCATTTGACGATCCGCAAGACAGTTGCTGCGGGTAAGATCTACCAGGCGAGTTGTGGGTTAAATTGCCCAGAGGTTGAATGAATAGTGGTCAGAGCAGGAGGCAGGCATAGGCAGTGGAATAGCAGTAGGTACCGGTCGATCTGAATTTGAAGTGGCATCTCTGAGTCCTCCTGTTTTTGGCCGCATGTTCGGGACGGTCCTGAAGAGCCGTAGATGTCACAGGAGCCCAGCAAAGCCGACCGGCGCTTCTCCAAGGACACACGGCATGTAGCGAGCCTTTCAAGCTCCGGCCGTTTTCGGATCTCAGGTACAGCTTCCAGGATTACACCTGACTGGCATGTCACACCTTGTAGGTTATTGTATGTCACCGTGCATCAACAGCCTTCAGGCTGTACCTAACAGGAAAGTGACGAACCTGCACAATGTGGGGCAGACAAGCCCGTGGGGTACGGTGTGGTGGTATGTCCATGAGACCTCCACTCAGAATGAAACGATTGATGCTGGTAATTCCCATCGCCCTGGCAAGCGGTCATTTGCTCAGGCCCGGACTTGATACACGGATTGTTCCATACACCAGGATTCGGGGTTGCCACTGCCAGGACCCCGAGGGCAAGAATTTCCTCGTAGGTCCCATGGAGATATCGATGTTGATCGAGATGCCACCTGCTTAACGCTTGGGCAAAGGGAGTGTTGCGACTCGTCTCCTCTCCTTCTCCACCTCTCCTCGTCAAGGCTGCATGCAAACGAGAAAATGAAGACTCGCTTCACGAGCCCGTTGGAGATGATGACTTGCATGGCCTCTTGGCCCAGCGGGGGAGCATACGGAGTTGCCAATGTCGCTCTTTACAACCACCCAAGCTCTTGAGGTCCAGCACGCCCGCGTGCATGGTCGCTTGTGGGACGAAGACCAGCCTCCCTCCGGCGCGGCCTCTGGCGGCCCCTTGGCAGTATTATTTCGGGCTCCACCACGGCTCAGAGCCTCATGGCATGTTGCAGGCACCCTAGCATCAAGAATGACGCATGAATCCTGAAGCCTGCAGGCCTACAGGCGCCAGACTGCGCCAGACTCCAGACCAAACATCCTTGAATTCTGAATCCTGACCAGTGAAACTCTAAATCTCTATGTCCTGCAGCATGGGATCGCTCGCACTTCGTCTCAGGTGACGAACCGGTAGTTGCTGCGGCCGCGAAAGCTGCAACTGATGCCGGTTGATGCGCAGTCTGCATTCGTGCATGCATACATGCTCCAAAAGTGAAAGCTTGCAGCTACGTATTCATTCCGACTAAATACTTGCATCTAGGATCCGAGCCATGTAACTTGTATGGTCCTGGCAGTTGCACAATCGCAATCAACAAGAGGTAGAACCGTGACATTCGCACTGAAACACTACAGGCGCAAAATGGGCAGGCCGTTTACCAGCTAGGCCGAACAGCGGTCTAGCTCGGCCGCCTCTGTCCTGCTCTGTCATGTTCAACAATGGCAGCAGTCAGCTTGAATCGCATGGTGCTAGCTCGCGAGGTCCATGTGCCCAGAGAGGTCAGCACAGAAGTTCCAAGTAAACTATTCGAGGCATACAAGCCTGGCGCCATCACCCTTTCACCATGGTCTTTATCCCACACCTGCGAAGCAGGGGGTGCACCTAGCTCTCCGGTTTCCAAAACTCGTGGGAGCTGGATGGCGTCGCAAAGCAATCGTGGTTCATCAACTCGAGATGTCGTGGCCGCAAAAATGGAAGGCGCGTGCTCAGGGGGCTCGGAAGAAAGACATGTTCGTTGACGACATCAACAACGGCTCGGCTCACAGGCACATATCGGTGGCGGCTCTTTGTAACAGCATGGTGTCGCGCAAAATGGTGGACCGTGGTGATCTGCGATAAGCAAGGATGACTTCAACTTCTGTCACACGTTCTGCCCCTGTCCAGCCTGACCATGGATGCCGGTGTCGGAAACTTGCGGGCGCACGTTGGTACAGGTTTGCACGACCAGAGCAGAAACCGTGATGGCAGCGAAGCCCACCAGCCAGGCCGCGATGGCCTTCAGACGGGTGCATCTGAGACGCTGCACCATGCAGAACTGGACCCGCTGCAGCAGCAGCAGATCAACCAGGCAGCAACACTTTCTGGGAGGGCCGATGTCCGTGCTTTTGAGAGCTCCAGGGGCGTTGCCACCGCACTTTCAGCAGCCCGAAGCAGTCCCAGAGATGCCACCGGAGGTGCTGCAGCCAAGACCTGGCTTGCGGAAGCGGACCGAGGCTTTGGCCTGAATCTCAGGTCTTGTTCTGGGGCTTGGACTCGACGTAACGTGCTTGCGACGGCAGTTTGCGCAAGATTTTGGCCAGCAGTTCACTTTTGGGCAGAATTTGTGGCAGGATTCCGAGCATTTGGCTCACCCCCTGCAGAGGTGTCTTAATTCCAAACTCTGATGAACCCTCAGTGCTTCGTCTCGAAAGTCACCCTGCAAACGGAAAAGGCTACCCTGCTCGCGTTGTGAGGCAATGACCGTGGAGGACACCCATCTGCCGTTGGTGGCCTGTCTCGGCTGAGTCAGCTTTCTTGAATCACTCGCAGGGCTTTCCTGGGTGAGGTGCCAGGGATGAAGCTTGCACAGTCTGCAGTCCTTCAAGTCGTTCGTGTGCACGGTGTAGGGCGTCAACAATGTATCAGCTTTAGCTGGTTCAAGCCTGAACTGCCGGACAACCCCGACCCTCTCTCCAAGCCTGCCTCCGGAGACCTAGTTCCCGTGGAGGAGCACCGAAAGTTGGCGCTGGAGTCGTTGACGCTGGGTACAATCTAGACATGGTTGACGGCAAGCCATTGCTTCGAGCATACTGTGACAGCGGTCCTGCCCTGGTCTAGAAATCTAGACCGACTGGGGCCAAGCCCTGAAGTCGCCTCGGCCTCGCCAGGAAGACCCCGCCACGGCCACGGCCAGAGACTCTTGGATCGCAGAGCTGAGTTTCAAGGCCCGCAGCCCCGCAAGCAAAGGTTAGTAGGGCCGTAGGGTTCGGGAAAGGGTGTGTCAACACAGATACATGCTCGACGTAGGTCTGGGACTTAGACGTCTTCAGGCAAGTTTTTTTCCTTTCAGCCCGGCCTCACTGTTGACAGCAAGTCTTTTGGAGGAGGATTGGCCCGGGTCACTGCGGTCCGTCTCATTACTTGCAGAGGAACGGGGTAGCATGAGTCTTACAACCACTCCTGTCGGGCTAGCCCGCATCCACACACAAACAGGCAAACGCAACACAAACAAACAGCCAGATTTCAACCCTTGGCAGCCACCGGCAAATAAAACACATCTGACTGATGAAATGCTTGTTTCGCCCCTAATCGCATGAATCCAAAAACCGGGGCGCCTCTCTCCCACGTGAAACGAGAACCAATGCTCTTTACATCTACAGCGGGGGACGACGCAAGGCTCCAGAGGTTGATACCTAGGCTGCACAGTACATCCCAGCTTTGCTCCCTGCTTCGTTTCTACGCTTTTCGGGCAGGTTTGGCATCTCTCTCAACGCGACCTGAGCGAGAAGTGTACCTGGCTGTTTGGGTTTGGAGGTGCAGGGATGCAAGCTTTAATCTAGGGAATCTAGGGTCTAGCCCTTAGGGTACCCTTCAGCAGCCTTCGGCTTCTTTCGCCTGGCTTCCGCTGCTTAGTTAATGATTCCTGACAGCCTGACAGCAGCGATTCGCAAAAGACGAACGTTACAACGGCTCGCCTCTCATGGCAGCATCGGGTAGCCCAACCTGCTCTAGTCGCCAATGCAGCGCAGGAGCAGCAGAAGCACCATCCTCTACGAGAGTTTTGCAAGCTTGGCACCAGACAAGACTTGCCTTGTAATATTGCTGTGTAGATAGACTCTTGCGACGGCTGTCTGCAGCTGTCGCGATGGCCGTTGCTGTAGCTCGTGCTGCGGTCTGAGACCGGCAGAGCAATTCCTTGACTTGGCAAGACTCAGAAGGCGCGACTGCTGTCTCGTCTCGAACAAAACCGGTGCCTCTCAGCATCTCCGGGCGGCTGCTGGCGCCCAACTGATTGACGGACGTTTCGCATGCTTTCAGCACTGCGTTTGTGGCCTCACTGCAGATGATAGCCCTTTCATTGTCCTGACGGAACATCTACCGGACCTCGTCTGTAAAGACCTTGGGGCACCCTTTAACTCGAAGTCAACGAGCCAGAAAGCGCAGGCACTGGATTCGAAAAGCACGTGCTGGAGCTTCATCATGGGCCAGGTGATCCCAAGGGTTCGAAAGTTCAATCATCAAGATTTCGACCTCGTCCAGGGGAGTCTGGACTGTTGAATTCGATAGCAGCGTAATGCTGGAGCTGACTAAATCGCTAAAGCTGGAGTCCGTAAGTTGTGGGCAACCCGGAAGCCCAACCTAAGCCCCTGCTGTCGCTAAGCAGCTAAATCCATCAACCTTTCAGCCTGCGACATCACCAGCATGCACCTTCCCAGTACTTCCTCAATGCTGAGCACGACGTAGTCTCCTGCAGCAGCCCTGAAGTGCGAGGAGCCCCGGGTTCTCAGACATTGTGAAGCCTGGATGCAGGCAACTTTGGCGAGTTGGCTTTCGGGTTCAGGATGGGCTTGAATGCACGCCTTAGGGCCTACGGGTTAGAGAAGCGTGTGTAACTTGAAATGCATGCGCAGCAGACATTTGCATTTTGCTCGCCATTTGTGAGAGAAGTGTGTGTGTGTGTGCGCGTGTGTGTGTGTGTGTGTCGTCCCTGTACCAAAGGGTTAGCTAGAGATGTAGTTGGGCTGTGCACGCTTCATGTCGACATGTCAGTGCTGTTTTGTGCTGTCATGTGGTCACCAGGTTTGTTTCTGCAGGCGGGCTGGAAATGTGCAGCCCAACGAAAAGGGCCTTTGCACATATTGATATTTTCGGGCCGATGCCCTGAAAAAGTACTTGCCTGTTAAGCTCTTATGGTAAGACAGAGTTTTCGATGTTGCATCGAGCAGTTCCATGTATGATCAGCCAAGCTACTCTGTTGAGCAGTTAAATGTCCGATTGATCAGAATTTTGTGCTGTGCAACGTGCTTGCAATTATGTTCATTAGAAGGCCTTGAGTCCCACCAGGAAGAAAAAGATCGGAGCAAGAACAGCAGATGCAACAGAACACAAGAACAGTGCAGTCGAGCCAGATCGACGGATCTGACGAACGTGTGTTTCGGTTAGTATGGCCTTGCCTCTGAGCGCCAGCTGAGTAGGGGGGTGCGCCTACCATCCTGACTTCACAATGACTCAACCGAAGCTCTTGACTTTTTTGATTTTCCAGCGACGATAAATTGTCTTTACCGGCATACTCTGACTGTCCCTGGCTGATTTCCAGGTTATGAAAGATGAGATGTTGATTTTACAGTGGAAACCAGGTACTCCAGAATCAGGGGTTCCAGTGACGACGTGACTTTACGATCGATTGGCGGTATGTTGTGGCTCGTAGACTCTGTCTGTGCTTTAGGACCTTGTAGCGCAACTGCATTCTCGAAAGCATGTCGGACCCTATCCAGGTGGATCGCTTTCTTCCCCGATGTGCTTTGCATGCTTCATGTCTACATGTCAGCGCTGTCTTGTGCAGTCATTTGGTCAGCACGACCCCCTCCATGTAGGGGAGGCGGGGCAGTGCTGGCAGGAGTGACTTGAGCAAACGACTGCACTTGAAATTGTGCTGTCAGTCGTACAAATTGCTGGATCAAATCCGTACAAAAGCTGTTAACCCTGTCGTCCTACAAGAACACCGTTAATGCAGTTGACAAAACAGTGGCAATTTATCGCCATCTTAACAAGCGACTGGTTAAATTTGACATAGAAATCATTTTTTCGGTGAAACGGGAAGAAGACCAGGACATTGCGGTCTACAGGCGAGGGAACGAACAGTTCTCTGCATGTCAGTCATTTCTCTGCTGTCCCGGCACCGGCCTGGTGACAGCGCGACCCCATCTATGTGGGGGCTTCGGGGGAAGCGGTAAAGATGTAGTTCGGCTGTGCATGCTTATGGTTGACATGTTATGACATGTCAGTGCTGTTTTGTGCTGTCGTGTGGTCAGCACTTATTTTTCGCGTTTCAGCAGGGGGCCGGACATGAGCATTGGTGGCCAGCCCTCAACGAAGAGGGCCTTTGCACATGTTGATCTTTTGGGGCGACGTCCTGAAAACGTAATTGCCTTTTAACCGCTTAAAGTAAGACACAGAGAGTTTTCGATGTTGCGTCGAGCAGTTGCATGTAGGATCAATCAAGCTGTTCTGTTGAGCAGTTACATGTCCGATTGATCAGAATTTTGTGCTGTGCAATGTTTTTGCAGTCATGTTCAACGGAAAGGATGAAAGTAAGTGTGTGTGTTTGACTTCGATTGCATGCACGGCAGACAATCGCAACTCGGTCATGTTGGTACTAAAGCATACTTGCAGTAGTGCTGCAAGCCTCCCAGCTTGCCTCGAGCAAGCCATGAACTAGACCTGCAGCAACAGCGCGCTGCATGGGTTTACAAAATGCTTCCCTGAATGTGAAGCGCAGAAATTGAAGCAATCTCGGAGCCTGCAATCTCACATTCAGCACAGAAGTTGTGATGCTTTCCCCGGGCTGAGAAACAGTCAAGACAACACGCTCTTGCGCTTCAGCATGTGCAACATGAGAATGTGGTACAGAGTCAGCATGACGCTCATGAGCAATGCAAGGACTAGGTTCATCACCATGTGACCCTTCTGGCAGGCAGTGCCCATCCCTCGTCACGAGTGTGCAGATGCAGCAGAAGTCAGGCGGCATGATATGCCTGGAATGTCTGGCGTTAGATCGGGTGTCTCGGTACGATCTGGCTCTGAGGTTGCAGATGCACCGCATCAAGTGGCTTTGAGCATCGGTTTTTGGGTTCTGGTTCTGGTGGTGTAAGTGTTTACGGACCTGCGGCCTGTGACGAGTTTTCAGGGTCCAGGTTTCACTCGTGGGAGTTTGGCACGTGGTGCCGCTAGATGGAAGTGCCAGGCTCCAAGCACGTTTCCAAAGCCGCAAAGACGTGAAGACCCCAGATTCACAGACTCAATAGCTGCTATAGCCCTACAGGCTGCAGAGGTTGATTCAGATCCTGCCTCGACGTGACAAGACAGGAAATAGAATGGTCCATGGCCACGGAACCAGGGGAGGCGGTGGTGGCAGGGTCACCAAGGAGATTTGCAGATCTGACCACTTCGGAGGGTGTCGGCCCCGTCCATCTATCTCTGATGTATTTCGTCCCATCGCCGGAACTGCAGCTCTGGCCCGCCGTGACAGGCGACGCTGGCAAAATGTGGAGGCCTTGGCCATCGGCTGCTTTGCATATCGCTTTGGCAGTGAGGGCTTTCACTGGATTTCGAGAGTGTCCTGCAGGGGCTATACCGCTAAGACGATTAAGGCTTGGGTTTGCTCCCTAGCTTGGGGCAGTCGCCCTGGGCTCCGATTTTGCCGAGCGGTCCTCAAATCTTCCAGCCGTCTTTGCGGGTCTCAGTACCGGATGTGCCGGCCTATTCGTGTAGGAGTCGCTCTGCCTGGACGCCAACAAGTTCTACGTCCTGCTCTGAGCCTCCAGAAACTTAACTATGGGTCAGGCTTCAGAACTTGCTGTGATTGACATAGGATGCCTCAGTACTCAGATGAAGGTACAACTAGGCAATTGCGGTGCTCTGAGCACCTCAACACTATACTATCGATTGCAATTCCACAAGACCATTGAAAAATGAGAAACCCTGACATGCGGATGCTCCAAGCCCTAAGCAATATGCCCGCAGAGAAGGCGCAAGCCCATGCTGCGGGTTACACCCTCGGCGCCTCCTTCCGCACGGTGCGGCGGCTGGGCAGCAGCGCCGGCCACGTGGTCGGGGTGCTCCGTGCGGAGGACCCCGTGTCTGACAGTTGCATCACATGAAACCACACGAGTTCAGACTAGTAGCCCACATACTGGAGGAGGATGGGTTTCATCACCACTTTTGGCTGCATCCGGGAGTGGTGGATGGTGCGATTCAGTTGGCAGGCGCAGAAACCCGGATTGAGTGAAGGGTGTCAAGGAGCTCGCGTATAGGGAGTGGCAGGGGGGCAAGCCGGCGCCAGAGCAATCCCTTGAGCTTATGAGCCTTCTAGAGACCGAGGTCTCATGGTCTCGAACTTCAGTCCTAGAATGGTCTTCTGAAGGCCTGGCCCCCCACGGCTTCTACGAGCAGCAGGCCTGACGGTGCCGTGTACACGGTGGTTTCATCGGGATATGGGGGTCTGGCATGCTTTTTGTTTCAAGCTGTTGGAAACCTACAAACGTCGACATGGAGAGACATGCTTCGGTTGGCGGCATCTCGCCTGTAAATGTTCTCCGGCTGCTGCAGCAGAGACTTGCTGCGCAATGAATGACCATTCCGGACAGGAATCGCCTGAGATCAAGGCCGGGCGCTGGCCGTTGGTAATGTCATGTAGTGATTGGCCTGGGGGACCAATAATTTAAAGTTCCTCCGGCCTATTCGGTTTAGAGAACTGCCTCTCGGGCTACCCAATAATCTATTTTTGTTCGGCCTGATCTTTTTTGGGAAGCGTGGCTCCCGAAATCACAAATACTTCTACTTATACGTACATACTTTTACACTTGTTCCATTGCCCAGGCTGTTCTCGTTTTTGGATCCTTTTTTGTTGTTACGGAGGCCCCACATCAGCGCTGTACATTAGAGCCCGGAAGCCGGAAGCCCCAGGCCAAACAAAAGGTTCCACGCAAGCCTCGGCCAAGCCTTGCAGGTGCCGGTGTCCGCTCGCTCCGCCCGCTTGGCCTTGCCCGGGCCGAAGCACTGATTTTGCAGCGGGGCCTTGCGAGAAGACGTCTCTTTGCCGGTTCCCGTTGAGGCCATTCCCGAGGCCTGGCCCTGGACGTTGGCCGCAGTGGCGGGTTCCCGGATGTGCCGGGGTCTCGGAAAGATCTTTAAATGGAGCAGGGGCAGGTTTCGACTCGTAGGTGCCATGGGTTACGCTATGCAACCGCATCCTGTGCTTCTTTGCACCTTCCAGCTTTAGCTGCATCTCCGCTGAATCTGCAACGGAAAAATCCTACTCGCTCAGCAACAAGCGAAGACCGAGCAGCCGAGCATGTAGCCATGGCCGGCGGATCTCGGCGCAGGGCAAGGGCCCAGCGTGTGCGGAGGCTGGTCTGGCCTGCAACAGATTTTGAGTACCTCCGAGTCTGCAGGTGTTGTGGGCTCTAGCTGCCAACCGCGGGACTTTGGGATGAAAGATTTAAATCCGGGGCGGCAGCATGTGTAACGTTGATGCAGGAAGCTGAAGCATCCTGAAGCTGTTTCTCAGAACAGCGTCGAAGGGAGAGCGGGTTGAGCCAACAGTTCCCTCAGCGGCTTGTGGTGAGCTGAGAGGAGCTTTGCCGTTCTGGCGCTTGGCTGTGCCACAAGCCGTGTCGGTCGTGCGCTGGCAGGAGACGCGGGGTCTTCTTCGGAGGGTTTGCGCTGACACATGGGCTGTGACACTCCCCCGAAAAGGGCAACGAATGCTGAGAGCTTTGATATCCTTCCTCTGATGTCTTGACGAATTCGAAGCCAGGACCCGAGGCCTCCTTGCAGGCTCTGCGCCAGAGGTTCGTGGAGGCCAAGTCCATCGAGAGGCTCCCAACTCCAGGCATCCTGGCGCCATGGACTGACATCGAGTGCCTCGACGAACTTCATCTCGTAGAACTCGCTGACTCGCTGCTAGCCCAGCTGCCCTTGCCGATCGCATGTTCTTGCATTTTTTGAATCTTTTCGGTGGCATGTACCCACTCGAACTGTGCAAGGCACGTCTTCACGATCGTGCCCCATCAGTTACGACGAGACATTGAGCAATTGGAATACCTCGTGTCAAAGAAGGTGCCTTCGGAAGGGCATTTGGGTCTCCGAGTCAGGCTTGGCATATGGAGCTGGGCTTAATATATCGAAGGGCTTGTAGTTATTGCAGTAGCGGTCTATCCCGCATGCTATCCCGTATGCTGCGAGGTCCTTTCGCCTGACCGGCAGCGCTTTGTGCAAGACCATGCCCTGCCGGAGTTTCGGCGCGTCCTCCTGCATGTGTTGGTAGCTGCTGGTGGGATGGATGCCTTTGTCGTCACGCCCCCCCAGCCTCAGCTGCTTGTTTTGGTCGGTGGTGATGGTTCGGACGGTAGGACCGGTAGGAGGGAGACAAGGTCATGTTGCGCCGTTTCTTCGAGAGCCACTGTCTCAAAGGTGACAATTACTACATGAGCCTAACCCAGCAGTTCGGCACCTGAAGGCCTAAAGACTTGTATATCAGAGAAAACATATCACATTGAAGCCGAAGCCAACAGAAGTCCCTATCCCAGGTTTAGCATCTTTTTCGCCTTGCAGGGCCGCGCCTTTCACCTGCACCTGGCCCAACAGGTTGCGAAAGACAAGCTGCTTCATGACTTCAGGAGTTTGAGACTTCTTTGATCGGGCGTAGACTTGAGTTCCGAAAAGCCCAAGCAGATGAGCCGCAGCTTTCTGGTACATGAGTTTCAGGTCGTGTCACGCCATGTCATAGATCTGGTATGGGGTGCTCACGACGCATCGCGAAGTTTGAGGCATCCGGGTCACCGTGTGGCTGGTACTGCCGTCGCCGCGGACCTGGCGATGCTTGGCGTACGAACCGAGAGAGGGAGCGAGCTGTGGGCAGGGCTGAGCAGGGCAGGCACGCGAGAGCTGCAAGCGTGCCTCTTTTTGCAACGCAGGTCAGTCCAGAAGGCCAGGCGGCGGGGAGTCGGTCTGCATGCATTCTCTCTCAGGTTGCGCCTAAACAACCAGCCCCGCCCTTTCACCGATCGGTGCCTTTGCATGAGGAGTTTGAGGGCAAAGAGCACCGAGTGTGCATGGTGGATGATTTCTTCACTCCCGATGCAAGATGTCTGCATTGGACGATGTGAGTGTGTGAGTGCGTGTGCATGGGGGTCAGTCTTCACATCGTTCAGCAGACCTCTGTGCGTGGATTCATCGGTTCCCCGAGCCGTCCGAGCTCGGACTTTCAGGAATAGAGATGCGAGCGAGTGGATCAAAACTATCCGCACACTTTGTGTACCAGCTTAGGCATTGAAGGTACTTCAAGATTACCTGCTGGAGTCCACCATCTGGTCCCAGGTCAAGTTTGGCCACGTGGGCCCCATGACTGACTTTAGAAAGTTGAACTTTCAGGCACCGCGATTTCTAGATTGCCGCCGCAGAATCTGCACACCGCGATTTCTACATTGCCGCAGCAGAATCTGGGTAAGGGTCTGCCCAAATCTGGAAGACCAGGGTATTCCTACAAGCCAGAGGTTTTGAAAGGCTGCAGAAATGTGGCGTGAAACTTGCTTGGAAGCCCCAAGCTCTGAAAGACCTGGCATGACCTAGGCACCTACCTCGACACGGGCTTTGCTTCGGCGTTGGTCAGCCAAATTGATGAGGAGCTCAGGCGACGCAGCAAATCTTGTCAACTTGCACTGAGGGTGTTGTGGAATTCATGTTCGGGGTGCTCTGAAAGATTCTGACGCGACTGCGAAGCCTTGACCTACGGCCGTTGGCACCCCAAAGCTGGAAGGGGATCAAGCTCAGTCCGACAGCTTTCGGCAATGCAAGTATGTGTCCGTCGTGTCGGTGGCAACAGGCAGCAACTGCCTCTTCTTGGCGGCAAGGAGTTGCACAACGTCACTTGGCATGAGATCGTCACTGAAGTGACGTGAGTCTGCTATGCATCTGTTCTCGCGCAAGGCTTGGGCCTACATGTATGATGGCTCTCTTGGTGGCATTGACACCCATGCAGACGACTGCCAAGTACAGATTAATTTCTTCATCAGCCCATCTTCTGCAAACCTTTGGTTGGAAAACAAATCCCTGCCGTCCGGTGGTTTGGTTCTCTATGGCGTGGGCCCTCCAGCAGAATGGAACTACACCGACTACAACAGCATTGTACAGAATCCTCGAATCGATGAGATTCTGCAGACGACAAACTATTGGAATGTGACCATCCCGTACGTTGAGAACCGCGCAGTTCTTTTTGATTCCACATACTTCCACAAGACAGATTGCATGCGTTTCAAGAAGGGCTACAAGAATCGTCGCATTAATGACGCTCGACCGAAGTGGGGGAGCTCAATGCAGCTCAGACTACGGGTACGACGACTGGTTGGGGCACCGTAACTTTGCTTTCTGAAGCAATGTGAGGTGACCTTCCTCTATGGCCGGCGAAAGGCCTTGGTACCGGCACCAGGCTTGGGCTTTCGGGGGTCCCAGGGTCTTTCTGCGTTTTCGGGAAGCGCTTGAGGCATTGGGATTGGGATCCTCCTCTCCTCGATGTGACAGGCGTGGCCTGGTCTGCAGAGGCACAGTGCACCATACCGGAAGAGCAGGAGCAGCTGCAGGACCGGAGTTTGCCGGAGCTTTAGGCCAGGATTTTAGTCAAAGGGTAGCTTTAAGCTTTCGTGTTTCAGGTTTAAGCCCCAGCTCGGGCGTCCCCGGCCCAAGCAGAGGCTGCTCGAGAGGTTGGAACATGTTGTAATGCGCATCCCTTCAGCACCTGGTTCTCATGCATCCGCGCGTGATGTCTCTCATCATCACTCAATTTCTGGTGGACTTCGACCCCGTCAACTTTCTGCATCCACGCCGGAACCTGGGGATGCCTTCCGACCCTTACATGCACTTCGCTACTCTTGCCATTTGGCACACCCATCTTGTTCAGAGAAGACCGGCAACACATCAAACCACATATCAGCTTCAACACTTTCGGCATGACAGGCTCCTTTCAGAGTCACCGGTCCAAAGCCAGGAGCGGCGGGAGCGCTACTTCCGAGCTGGCCAGGTGACTCTGGACGACCAGGCCGAACCGTAGTCCAAGCCACAAGGTGTCACAAGTCAAAAGGCTGCTCGGAAAGCGAATAGAGGTCAGAGTGAGCGCCGGCAGATCGGCAGGACTGGCGGAGCCTCAGCCAGGCGGTGCAGCGCCGCCTCGAGCGTATTCGACAGAGGAAAAAGCCCGCACGAGAGCTGCAATGTGCGGTGCTGATCTCTCTAGAATGGCACTGCGACGCAGTCGTTTGCAGGCTTCGAGAAGTTGTAGTGCACACCATCATCCCGAACGAAAGCTTCACCCGACAACCGGGAGCCCTGCAGCCTTTCCCCAAGGTTAAAATCAGCTACAGCTACGTAAGCTTCGTGGATATTGGCACCTGTCCACAGGGAACCGCGGAATTGGCAGGGGAAATCATGACAGGACTCAACAACCCAACCTGAGCAAACCAATTCCGCAGTCTCCGAGGACTGGGTTGTCAGCATGCAGGCCAGGTGGGTGGGTCCAGATGCTTCCTCTCAAGCTTTAGCCGCAAGAACCGCAGCCCAGAGTCGACAATTGTCAGGCGCGGTGTCGATTCGTCGCCTGTCTGTTGATTGGTCTAGGGCCTAGGGCGAATAATCTAGACGCAGCTTTAGGATGGCCACAAGAAGCTGTGTCCAGAGAAAATTCGGAGACTGCGTACTCTTCGACAACTGCGGCACTCGGGGGCTGCTCGAGGTCCTCGCCAGTTCGCAGGCTGAGGTGATGACCTCCTTCGCTGTCTCTGAGAAGGCCCGCAAAATCTACACACCCACGGAATAGGTCGCTAGAGATCCTGCAACAGGTAATTAGGTCGAGTTCCTGCGCATGCCAGGTGTGCGCAATGGAGAGCCCGGTGGGACCAGACTCGCCTCTTGCAGTGGAGGCCGTCAGAAGTTTCTGCCACGAAGCTAGGCGAGCTAGACCCATCCGCGTTGATACAGCGGTGCCAAGAAAAAAGGCTGTTAGCGGCTGGTTGACGGGCTAGGTACTGTTTGCTCAATGTTGGACACTCAGCCCCAGTTGATAGGGTCAGCGTTGGAACGGAGTGCAGGATTCTTCAAATTTCGTCCTAAAACCAATGGACCATGTCCTTCACTGCCTTTGACATGAACTTATGGAAGCACTGAAATCTTGGTACCGACCTGCACCACGAAGCGTGCGCACCAGCGGATTGCAGAACGGAGAACCGACAGAAACCGAAGCAGGGGAAGCACAGCTCCAGCGCGCAGCGGCCTCTGAGAGGCACTGCGCGAGCGGCCCCTGAGCCCGGCGCATGCCAGGGCAGCCCGCTCTGCTGGCTCCGCTGCGGCGGAACATCTCTACGAGGCAAAGGCCCAGGCTTCTTCTAAGCAATAGACTTGCTGGTTCAAGCCTTGGGGAGCAGACCCCGTGAAATTCACGGAAGGATTCGGTTTTCTTCTTCTTGGTTCTGGTCCTGCGGTTCCGGTTCGGTTCTACGGCCTTCCTCCAGAGGATGAGACCGCCTGGGCTTGAGGGATGAATACATCGTACAGCTTGAGAGGATCAGGCTGTTGGATTGATTGCATGCAACATTCCACAACACATCGCACTTCCTGTTTCTTGACGATGTCTCGCACTGTTGGACCGTTGCTGCTGTTGCTCAGGTGGTGTGGAGACCTCTCCAGGCTGCTGCCAGAATTCCATTGCAAGGGCTCATCTCTTCAAAAGCATGTTGCAGACCCGCATGTAATCTTTCCCGGGATTTCAATACGGCTTTTCACGCCATCTCCGCTACTTAGAATGGGGCAAGATTGGTCGAGTCATTGGATGGTTGTGGCGACAAATCTCTCATCGCAGGTTTCGGTGGCGTCCGTGGCAGGTGTTGTAAGGGGCGCTGCAACATGTTTCGAAGCATCTTGAAGCAGTTGGTGAGGTATACTCTTCCACGATCACTATCGGATTATCGCAGAAGCTCGGATTACGCATTTAATTGTCATTGCAGCCACTGCAAAAATGTTTGGGGCACATTTTTAAAGGATCTTTCAGTCGCACACACTTAAAATCATTGTGTGTTGGTTTATGTTGATTTGTTTTTATCCGCTTGGATTTTGTTTGCCCGTTGTGCCTCCTGCTTTTGCTTGCATCGCTTTCTGCTTGTTTTGTTTTTGCTTTTCCGCTGCCCTGCTTTTCAGCTTTTTCTGCTTCGCTCTTCTGCTCCTCCGCTGTTTTGCTTTTCCGCTTTGAAGCTTCTCTTATTTTCACCCACATCCTTCCGTCCTGGTGCTAATTCGCTTTGCTCCTGCGCCTCCTACTAGTTACTAGTATTTCTTCTTCTACTGCTACTGCTATTACTTCCACCACCGCCACCGCCACCGCCACCGCCACCGCCACCGCCACCGCCACCGCCACCACCACCACCACCACCACCACCAGGAGTCGGAGAGGAGCAAAAGTAGGAGTAAGAGTAAGACTAGGACTAGTAGTAGTAGTAGTA